GCGCACTCGCTCGCGCGTTTAACCCACCCAGGCCTTATAATTCAAACGTTGGGGACCCCTTTGACTGGTACTCGCATACCAGATATTACTTTTACACACGTGATACTGCATCAGTTTCTGGAGACAAAGGCAGCGAATGTATGACGGCGAGAATGGGACCATCATGTGTGGGTTGGTCGACGAAGTTCGCGCTTCAATTTTGCCGGAACCAGCGAGTAATTTTCTGCTTCTTCCTTTCCCTCTTTTTTGTTAATCTCCCGGCTGGCTAGCTCCAGTGGGCTCTCTATTGTGAATAAGGTTAAATGTGATGAATCGCTATATCGGCTTTATCAAGTCCATGTTCCGCTTCGTATGCCGTTTTGATATATTCAAGGTTTTATTATCTAATTCAATTCTTTTCTATTTTTTTATTTAGTTACTCTATTTTACTACTGCAAATTTGAATTTCAACGTTATTAAGCAACATCTCATACATTGCATTTATTTAATTAGATACAAATTAATGACAATTTAATATAGATGCTTGGTAAATTATAAGTCGCTTTAATATAAAGTAAATATAATATTAAATTTTTTAAATAATAATTTAAGAGATTATTTTACAATATCAAAAAATATTTTTAAATTAATTCAATATAACATTTTAATTTCTCAATTATATTTCTTAAATTATAAATATTTAATTACAAGTTTTACATATATGTATTACAGTGATTTAAAAATATAAAAATAAATTAAGATTTTACTATATATATTTATTTAAATTATTTTTTACATATTAAAATAAATATGGTTATACAAATTGTAGTATTTGTTTCATTAATTAACGTTTCATCAGTAATTTACTTAGTTGATATAATATCGCTTTTATCGCGCAATGAATAGGTTCTTCATTGGAGTACTCTAGTCTCGGGATACTATGGCCAAGAGAGTACTATATATAGATTGTATTCAAGATGTGAAATATGAGCGGAAAGGGATGTTTTCCTATCTCAGCCCGATATCACGATTGGAGACTTTGAGTAATGATATTGATATATTAGCTTATTTGATACTGAAATTGCCTATTACCTTCTACATTGAACAATATGTCGATCATCATGATGCTGTTATCGATGTTTCTAGAAAACTACTTGCTATCTTATCGATTATCGTGGGTAGTATTTGTCCGCGTGAAGAAAATTAAATACATGTCACGATAAAATTGCCAATAAAAGTCCGCAGCTTGACGCTCTTGAAGCATCAGGATTTAGCTCTGAGTTATTTCATTTCTTGACAAATGCAAATTTCGATAGAAAAATCTTACAATTAAAGAGCAGGAAATAGCATTAATCGTTTGATAATCATTTTAACATTAATAAGGAAAGCAATACTTTGTGAGTGAAACAACACAGATCGCGAAATCTATTTTTAAACATTTAAATCATTTAGTCAAGAATTTAAAAGTTTTTCTGCGAGGAATGCTGGGAAGAAAAAGAAACAATCGGCTCGAAGAACATGAAACGAAACAGACTTTTCCAGATATTCCACTTTACCGAGTTATGAGTGCGCGGTTGGAGAGGGTCGAAAGAAGAGAAAATTACGTTAGGATAATACGAAGAGTCGTTTTATTCCGAGCCATCTTCTATCCTTGACTCATACGTTGCCCAACCTTGCCGCTATATTTCACTCTTTGATGCTTCTATCGTGTACGTACGTTTGACTTCATTCGCTCTGGCTTTGTCTCTAAGACTGGTTTCTTTGACCTACGTCTCTATGTCGTTGTGAAAAATTATACAATGCTCTTGTACAAGATGCCTCCGTTATACGGTATCTTATTGCATTAATGGTGCATGAAAACGAATGCCGGGAAACAAAAAATGCCGCAACTACTTGCGAAAGATCGTTTTGAAATCTCTCGATTTTTTCATTAAGATTTTATTCCACAGCGTGATTGAAAGCTTTTGCATATAATTTGCTAAAATGTGAATATCAGAAATTAAGTAAATCAATACAATCGACATTTTTTAAATAGATACGTATTTTATTCTATATTTATTATATTTACTGTTAACATAAAAAAAAACATTATTTCTTTTTACAAAAAAACATGTATGGGTAATAACAGATTATAAAGTAAAGATTAATTAGTAAAAGTATGATATCGATAGGATTAAATAAGAATAAATTTATCTTACGAGGCAAGCAAGGCGTAAGCGAACGAAAGATGTAAGCTCAGATTAATAGAGGTCGATTTCAGTATCGGAGATGGCAAATCGCGGTAATTAATATCGCCATTTGTTCTACGTCATGTGCACGTTTACGCGCATACACATACATATATACATGTATACATACATACATACATATATAAATATATATATGGCCGAGCCAGTGCAAACATAGACAACGTGCGCGTATGTACACGCTAGGAGATAGGCACACGTTCGATCTAATTGAAAGGCGAAATATCTCCGATTTCCCCAAGATATTAATTAGCTTTCGCGGTTCATCGGGCCGCTCTCCAAGTCCCCGGAATCGGCGCATTTCACACGCAGCCACGCAATTTCGATGAGCGTTATGATTGCTCGCGTTATGGCTCGTTGGGATTAAATTGTCGTATTCGAGAATTTGTATGGTTCATTGACGCGTGCGCTATTTGAAACGAGCACGATGTAAATCCAACATATGCGAATGATTTTGAAAGTGGAAGTCGATATAACATATGAATAAATTTGGGACACTATCTCGTATTGTACTCACAAATTAAAAAAAAAAAAAAAAAAAAAGGATTAAATGCATTTGTATATCCATGATTATCTTAATATATTCTGAAAATTTCTATAAATAGTAAAATAAAATGGAAAATTGAAAATGGGAAAGTACTTTAGATTTGCGATACTGATCTAATCGATACGCGCTAATCGATAAATACATATAGCATGATTACATTTGATCGGGCTCTTAATTGAATCTGCTATTACGTTGTAATCGAATAATCTGCCGGTATATCACTGTTCTTGTGAAATCAAAATCGACATCTCTTGATGCGTAATCCCTATTGGTGCGTTGAAACGCTGAACAGTACAGTTTGCAAATGCTAATTACCTGTTAGTAGCATAAATGATCAAATATGATGAGAGATCTCAAGCCTCAATTCATCCTTTAGTTATCTATCTTTTATCTTTGATTCTTCATTGCATTGTATTACTTTTGATGATAAATTATCGTTTTAGTAACGAAAAATCTATTACGCGATATAAATATATTTTAGATATTTTAGAGATACTTTTCAATTTTGTACTTTTTTATAGCACGTGAAAAGATAGGTGTGTGAAATATATTTTGCAATAATTTATTAATATTTATTTATAATTATCTTGCTTCGGCTTATTTGTCGGTCAGATGCTAATTAATAATGCTATAATTTACGCATTAATGAGATGGTAATTTTGTAGCATGCATAAGCGATATGACAAAAAATATTGAAAATATTTCATAAAGTTTATATTTGATAAACAATTTATTAAGTTTACCAACTCTCTCTGCTAAATTCTGATAAAACTGTGCTACATTTACGCCATGCCAGTAATATATAACTCTTGCGAATTTCGCGTAATTTACGCATAAAATAATGATTTTCTGCTGTTTATTTCATGAAATACTATAAGTATCTGGAATCATTGTTTAACCATAACAAAGGTTAATTATTTGGCAGCATGCTTAATGCATGCCATGAATTGGAATTACTTGGGGCAATAGGGATGTGAGGATCATTTAGTTATATCTAAAATCTACGAGAATTATACATGGAGCCTCATTAAAATATTGATATAAATCGGACAGTTATAAATTGAATATTTTAAATAATTGAATTTATTCGATTTATTTAAAATATCAATAAGCAAGCTTGTGTATTATTAACATTGCAATATTTTATAACGTTGTAGAATTTTAATATTTTAATTTTAATCAAAATCTCATAAAATTTTAAATTAATTAATAATAATACTCTTTTTTTTGTTTACTTTTTCTTTTGTCAAATAAAATGTTATAGATTACACTTTAAATAGAAACAAAAATTAGGCTAGATAATTATAAAAGCAAGAGAAATAGGAAAATTTATGCTGTTTTAAAATATAAAAAATATATTGTGTAAAGTTATGTATTGAGATTATGGGACTAAAAATCTCTACATAAAAAAGAAAGAGGAAAAGAGATAGATATGGACACGTGTAATAAGCTACAATAAGTCCATTGAGGATAATAAAATGTAGAAACCTTCATGTTTTTTTAATATGACCTATAATTAAAGTAATTTATGTTAATCTAAATCAACAAGGACACATATTATGTAATCTCTCATTTTGCATAGTAAAAGGAATTATTTTGTAACCCCATACAGCGAAGTGGAGAATAAAAGTTAACTAAGTTATTAAAGAACATAATTATAAGTTCCCTTATGTGTAATGTGAAATATGAAGATTTCTGTTGATAAATAACAAAAATTATAGTAATCTTTATTTTATAAATAAGTTTGCAATTAAAGAGATTGTTTCAAGATAATTGTCTTTTGACTTGTACACACATACACATGATATTTTTATTTAGCTATCTATAATTTTTGCTTTGTAGTAAAAACATACAATCTTATTAAATTAATAATAATATTTTTATTTTGTTATTTATAAAGAAACTTACAATATAGTTATTATATGTAATCAATATATACATTGCTAACTTATTACGTTTGCCTGCTATTATTATTTATTCTTTTGCAATTATAATTTCAATGCACATAAAGTTTAAAAATGTGGCTACTGATATGAAATAATTTGTGACTAGTATGTAAAAATACTTCTTTATTATTTACTATTTTATTACTTTAAACTATGATATTATTTCACAATTTTCGTTGCTTTCGAATTTTTTATGTAGGATGTAATTTAATGAAAATTTTTTCTTGTTTCTATTCTTTATTATTAACTAAATTATTAATTTATATATTATTTTTGCATTGATAATTGTTGAATAATTATTTGTATTGTTTATTTATATAGTTTTTTTCGCTAACATTAATTTTAACATGTTAATAATTGAATAATATTTATATAAGAAGACATATGTATGCACTTAAACATATTTCGTAACCTCTAATAAATCGATATAGTGTAACATTTATGACATTTTTTTATTAAAATAATGAATTAAAAAATGAGAGATAATTTAGGATTAACATTTTAGATTATCCGCAATTGATTTCAATATTCTCGCGATGAGTGCAATAACTTTCTATGCCTATCATTTGTAATAGAATCCTTTTTTGTGTTCTTTAACATAACAGATTAAATACATCACATATCTAATAAACCCCATTCGTCATACATAGATATTCTCTTCATTATAATTTTTTGATAAACTTCATTCTTATAACCCGGATTCACATAGCCATCTGTGTCCATAATCTCATCTAAATCTTTTGCTTCATTTTTATCGACCATTATTAACGGTAATATGGTGAATGATGATATCATTCCATAGGCAGCTCTTCGCCTTAAGGCAGCCTTCAGCTCTTCCAAAGTAGGAGGCTGCGTTTCGCAATTTAGTTGTTTCATAGTCGCCGACAGAGTACTCATGTATTCGTTAAACAAAATATCTCTGTTGTTTTCAATGACATCCGGAGAAGGACTCGTGCTGAGGAAATAGAGGAGATCGACCGCCGGTGACGTGTATACGCATAGTTGAAAGTCCACCTGCAATATCAAACAAACTCTTTCGATCGATTGATCTATAAAATGTCGGGCAATTGAATTGGAAATGAAATCCATGCACGGGGAAAGAAGTGAGATTCCTGTTTAGGAAGTCGCGGCGGTCGAGAGTTTGCGTGAATGACACGGGCAGGCAGACGGCTGATGTACCTGAATTCGATCCAACTGAATTATTGCATTATTCATAACATGCTGTATTTTGAAGTATCGCATATTGTCATCAGCTCTTTATCTTGATCGGTAAAGTCGATATCACGGCTTATATACGCGGATAATTGAAATATATATTAATGTCTATTACTCTTCAGGGAATTATTCGTTTCATATCTAATATAATTTCATTTAAATTTATATCATCATTTATATATTTTTTAATGCAATTATCATAAAAAGTTAAAATTATAGGTAAAATTGGGAAAAGTAGAACATTGAATAATAATGTGCAATTACGGGATATATAAATAGATATGAAATTTTATGTACTTGCTCTATATATTATAACTTAAATTTAACGAAATTATAAGAAAATACATATTCAAGTGAAAATAGCAGTTTCAAACAGTTTCAATGTTAAGAAATATATTTTTACAGCATATATCTAAATATAAATTTAATTTCATGAATTAATTTACACAATCTTAAAATTTAATCGCATTATAAAGAATTATAATAAATAATAATCAGTCTTTATATTTAGAGGAAGTATGTAATCTTTTATGACATATGATACTTACAAAAATATGATCAATAGGTTTGCCATCATCGTCATATTTGAACATCATATTGTTCACCCAGCAATCACCGTGATTGATAACGTTGAACTCATCCTCGGAAAACTTGCATGCCTCTATTCCTATTTGATATATTTTGTCGGCCAATTTAGCAACTTTATCCGCGTACCTAGCAATAAAAGTCATATAAATATGAAATTAACATTCGATATACATCTTAAGCAACGCAGTTTATATTTATATATGTCACTCCATTAATGTGTTTGATTTGTTTAATATTTTCTCGCTTTAAACATTATTTTAATATATTATTTTTAATATATTATGTTTAATATATTATAAAATATTATCTTAGATAACAAATGCTATTGTTTGCATGCAAATTTTACTTTTTCATGCCTGGCCAGTTTGCCATTTCCTTTGCTAGTTGTGTAGTACCCAGAACGAAAAATCCAGTCATTTCTGGCGGGTGTTCGCTGTTAAACATTCCTCTCGAATACATTTGTTTTTGGTTTGGTTCCTAAATAGCGAAACATCTTTTTAAAAAATGTTGACAATTATCTACATTTATGATCATAAAATAAAACCATTAAATTTTTATGATTATAATTTTAATGATATGCGATTGATGAATTTAGAGTTGATCTTTTTTAGGAATTATAAGAGAAACAAGTATAGTTGCAATCTTTTAATGTTTAATGTAAAATATCTTATTCACTTAATTTTAAATTAAAATATTTTTTCAAAGATATAAAAAAAGTTTCGTATTTATTTACACATATGTCTAATATGTTAAGAAAGCTTTATTTTTAATTGTTTATAATTTGAAAAATTTATTTTAATGCAGGATATATTGGTTAAAGATATATCAACTTTTTTGATTGATTAAAAAATTTGTGACAAGGAGTTCGGTTTATCTACACAAAATCCTGAATAAAATAAAGCGATAATAAAGTAAAATAGTATTTTTGTATACAATGTTAAATCTTGTTTAATATTAATTAACAAATATTTCTATAGTATACAATTAAACAAAATATATTAAATATGTACGATTCTAAAGATATAGTTTTATTGTATGAATTATATCTTGATAAATTCATAATAATTTATTAAAAATAAATTAATGAATTAATATTTATAAATACACATTTTTTGCATATATATTTTTTGGAGTACAGTAATGTTCATTATAAAAAGTTTTAAATTGCATGAAAGTGAAGTGATTTTTCATATATCATTTGCATCACTTCGTATCACTTGCAGAAATGCTACTAACATGAATTTTATATGGAAGTAAATTTTTAATTGACACAATGAAACGTTATGATTAATTCGTAGTGATTTACCTTCTCGCATAAAGCTATAGAGGTTGCATGAAATCTGGCTAATCCGCGTATCGCTAATATACAATGACTTAGATCAAGACCAGTTTGACGACATGCCATGCGATATCCGAGAGGTGCGAGATCTTCCATCACTAAAAGAGTTGGATCATCGTTTTGCACGTACATGCCTTTCCCGCTCAAACGATACTTGGGCTCTAACAACTTGTTCATTTTATTCAAGGTGTCTGTCATCATCAATATCTCCGTATGAAAAATACGCGATTGCATAATCTAAAAGAGATTTATTCAAAATCAATAGCAAATAGAGAATTTTTATTTAATATATTTCTATTAAATTAAATTTATATTATATTTAATTTAATTATATATATAAACATGTATAAATTAAACAAACTTACAAGTTCTTTACGAACGCCTTCTATTGTAGGCGCAATTTTGACAATGACAGATTTTTTTTCCGTGATTTTACGGCCGCTTTGGTCACGTGAATATTCCACATTAACCCTGATCATGTCACTGGTATAGTTGTCACCCTTGTTCGTGGCCGGTTTCGAGAATATATCGATCACTTGGATCGAATTGTCGTTTTCCGACTTTCGCAGGGCCTTCTCCATGAAGCACAGATTCAGCCATGTTGGTGTCTCTAGGGCCATTTCTGAAATTGGAATTGGAATTGGAGAATTTCCCCGACAAATCATTCCCGGCGAGTTCTTCTCGCCGTGTCACGAAACGCGAAAACGATTCTTTACGATAACTTATTGTTCGCGGCAAGATTTATCACGTTTCCTTTCTTTCTAGCCAACTCGCTCCTTTCCCTCTCTTTCTTTCCCTCTCATTTCAGCTTCTAGTCTCCTTCGCCATCCCTTTTTCGTCGTTTTTCGCCCGCTTTACCGCCGTTTCTTTCTTCCGTGTCCGTCGATATTCAAGACGGGCATTCCCCTGCGTTTCAAATCGCTGTTTCAATTAAGAGCGTAATGGGACGCTGCTTTCCCCTTTTCCTTTTTGGCGAACGGCATACGTACGTATCGCGTCGAGATCCCGTCGAACGTGATCGAGTTGCGGTATTTGTGAGAAATTTACGACGCGTCTGACGCGCCGCGATCGCGTACGTACTTGTGGCCAAACGACGTTGGCCATATTTCACCTTGATGAGTTTTCTCAGGTATGTTTTCCGCGATTACCTCAGGATCAAATTCGTCTGCCATTAAAGATGCTTGATAGTTGAGCTTATATAAGGGATTCATTTATATAACTTTAATGATATATAAATAATTTCTTATAAACTTGGAATAGAAATTACATTATAAATATAAATATATATCTATTGCACAAATTAAATTTTAGAAATAAATAACAGAATTTTATTTTTCGAAGGTATTCTAGCTTAGATCACGAAAAATGGCCAGTTTTTGAGAATTTTTTTATGAGGAATGATTACAAAAGAATTATTATTCTAATACTTTACATATTTATTTATATTTAAAGCATTTTTATATATGAATATTTGCGTAAAAAAATTTTTAAGTGTTTTTGTTTTTTATGTGATTTTGAACAGAACACTTTAAAAATAGCTGTTTGACATGACTTTAATAAGTCTACTTGTCTAAAATAAAAAAATCAAGAAAATTATGATCAATTAAATTCGTTTATTGTCTAAACTCAATATATAAAAAAATATTTTGCAGTATGTAATATATAAAATAAAAAAAAGTATTAAAAAATTTTTTAATGGCACAATAAAGAGTATTGATCAATTTTTTACTGAACATTGTGATTTTGACAGTTGTAAAGAGAAGTGGTTAATTTAAAGATATTGCAATAGTTTTAGTTTGTGTGTATGTGTATCATAAATAGACATGTATTTTATATATGCACACAAGAAAGTTAAAGTCAATCGGTTCAAATATTTTTTAAGAAATCATGTTGATTTAAAAAAACATAATTTCGAGAAAAACGCATTTAAAATTTTGAAATATAATATACAAAATGGAAATTTTTATGATTCTTACTTTTAAAAACATATGTCATGCAATAAATTCTTCTTCAATTTAGATTTTCTTCTATTCTTTAATATCTCGTTTCATTCAATCACTTACAATTTTGTTAAACAGTATAAGCCTTCTTTGATATATTAGACGTTCTCTCTTCAGATCGATGCACATGTAGATAAATGAACATTTTTTTGCTTGTGGTTTAATTATTACACTCAATTTTTGTTTTTTCTTTGTTTATTGAAACGTTTAGTGTTCTACTTCTAAACTGGTTCTATCAAATTTAAAAAGATATTCGAGTTTTTATATGCGTGTACTTCGTTCAGCCGTCAAGGTTAAACTAGACGCCTGTACCACTTTCTCTTTCAAAACAAGCGATTTCAAAATAGATTCTGTCATAGCAATATATAACTTACTGTTAGAATCTGCGTTAGATATAGTTATCTGAGTTAGAAAGCGGTGAAAAATAAAAATAATTCACGTACGATAACTAGTTTTGAGCACACCGAATTTTAACCTGCGTAACATAATCTATAAATATGTATACATTTATTTTTATGGATTTCGAAAATTTCTTAGATATTTATTAGAAGCTTTTTAAAATCTTAAACATTAAAAAAAATGCGTAAAAAGAAATTTTTAGATAAAAATATTTTTTAATTTTAAGTGAATTTAATTTTAACTATAACTTAATCTTAAATAAATTGTACTTTTAGGAAGATATTTATATATACATATATGATTGACAATTATAAAATAAATTATAAACATATATATATATTTAACACCTGATGTGTTGTAAAAATAAAAAAAAAATTATTACAATGTGAATACAATTTTTTACCTCTTATTTGAGCTAATATTTTGAGGTAATAAAATTGCACATTAAATATAATATATAATTACTTATGCTAACATAATTATTTACCTCATACTGTGTGTGTATTAAAGCGTTTAAACGTAATTTCGTTTAGCATGTTAGTGCACATAATGTAATAAAAGATTTTATTTTAGCATTTATAAATAATAATTTTCTGTATCTATTTAAATATGAAAAATTTGCGCGCATAAATAGTAAATGAATTCTCTTAAATCAAATTAGAGGTACATTAGTTTTGAAGAACGCGAGAATTTTTATTATAATGACAAATTTAAATTTTAATTATATTTCCTGAGTTTTTTCCAGAATTAAAAAAATAAAACAGATTGATCACTTGTATATACCCGATTTATTTATATTATTAAATTTTAAGATTAAGAAATGAAGAGAATCATTTACCTGACTGTAGATTTGTCCGTAAAATCCACAAGTGTCTCGTAAAAACGTACAGCCGTGCGGCATGCAATTTTTACAACTTAAACTCTGTCTTGCAAGAACGCAATTCACACAGATTACTCGGCGTTAGCTGAGCTTGAGATTCTCTGTTGATACATTTTTGTAACAAAACTTTTTCTCAAATTACGCCATTTATATTGGATTATATATCACAGAATATACGAAGTATTTTATAGAATGAAATACGTATGCGTGTATGTGTATATTGATAGTTAACAATAATGGACATCGATATTGGATATAAATCACTGATCGATGTTGGACACATTTTTAGTGTGATTTCAAATATTAAACACAGTCAGAATAAAGAAATTAAGAGAACAAAGAGATAATAAACATAACCGACCTACTTTTACATTGTAATGTTTTAGCAAATTTGTTATTTTCTTTTTTCTTTATATTTAACATTTTTATGATAGCTGCTTAATAAAGTATTTTTAGTCCGATGTGCATGTAACATTGTTTTTAAATTTTTACTCGTGGAATATACTTTGGCACAGTTTAATTGTTTCATTCTGAGACACCCTGTATTTATAGTAATTTTTATTGTTAAAATGTTTCACACGCGTATAATTGCGTCACTGTATAAACTTGATCCATCCTTTTGGAAGCACAATAATTATTCGAAAGTTAACCATAGTTGCATAATTTTTTGACATAATTTTAATTGACAAGCAAATAAACTACGATTATGTCTCTTCGATTGATCAATGATAGAGAGTAAACAAAATAACTATCGATACACTTACTTATAAGTTGTTCGTCTCAATTTATTTCACTTAATGCTCACACTGCACTCGTCGCTTCGAAGACCAAACGCGAAATGATATACACTGAATAGAAGTGACAGGTTTTATACTGACAACAGTGCAATCTCTCCGCTATACTTTTGCAAGAAATTACAGATCACAAGCCTCTATTCATTTAGCGCTGCACATGACAACCATCACGAACATGGACTAATGATCCGTTTCGTACCGACAGACTTCCTGATTCATTCCAAGCTGGCTAAATTTTATCAACAATGAACTCATGATAATTCGACCCTAGATAAAATATAATCGTAATCATCAGTTAGCATTGAACAATGAAGATAATAAAACCTGATAAAGATAATAAAAGCTGACAGCATTGTGCAAGTACAGTAAGTAATTATACGTATGTTTGAAATAAAGAAGGGGGCTAATTTTATTATGAAGATAAAATGTGATAAACAAATATCTTATGTATATATATATATATATCAGATCTACCGGAAAGTTCTGTCCGTTTTTGGAATAAAACAAAATACAAATTTTTATTACCGTCAATAAACTTTATTAAATAATGTAATTGCCATTATTATTAATGATTTCTTGCCAGCGTGAGGGCAATTTGTATATCCCATTTTCGAAAAATGTTTTATCTTTTGATACGAAAAATTGAACCAGTGCTTGTTTCATATCTTCTTCATTTTTGAATTTTTTGACTCTCAAAAAATTTTGTAAGGACAAAAACAAATGATAGTCGGAGGGTGCTAAGTCCGGGGAATATGGTGGATGCGACAGAATTTCCCAGCCTAGTTCTGCAATTTTTTGACGAGTCCCCAAAGCAGCATGTGGCCTAGCATTATCATGATGCAGTATGATGTTCCTCCTATTGAACATCGCCGGCCTCTTTTCATGGACTGCTGTATTTAAATTATCCAGTCGCTGACAATACTTCTCCGAATAATGGCAATTACATTATTTAATAAAGTTTATTGACGATAATAAAAATTTGTATTTTGTTTTATTCCAAAAACGGACAGAACTTTCCGGTAGACCTAATAGTATCGTTTATTTATATACCCAGTGATTATTCAGGCGCTAAGAAGCAATAGATACACGATCCTTCAGCGCGCATTTGTCTACAGTTAAGATCACTACAAATCAGTTCCCGACCTCGTCAATGGCGTCTAAAAATATCGGCTGTCCCTTCGGTAGCAAAGTGCTTGCATACGTTGGGCGTCGTCTTTACGTGCCGGCATAAATATGTCGACGGAATTTGTGAGAGCACGAGCGTTTTTAGATAGAGCCTGAGCGTTCTCGGGGCGGTCGCGCACTTCCTTATTTCTTCTTGTGTGAGGAATTCGGGGTTGAAATAATCGACACGGCAACACACTGAGAAAACACCCAGACGGCACGCTCACATAAACGCGCCTTTTTTCTTTACGACATTACACTCATGTAGAAATCAATTTACGCTCTCGTTAACATAACTGTTGAACCAACAGTCTCGCAGCTGCCATAAATTTCTTCGACCATTATATTGCAACATATATATTTTATATATTTTATAAAGCTTATATATAAGATGGTTCATTTTAAATGACGCATTGATATTTCTTGAAAAGGCTTTCATTGAAAAATGTTTTACCTCAAAATTACAAAAATTTTGTATAGGACATTTTTCGCGCGCACGAGGAAAGCTTGGTTTTTGAGAAATATTAATGTGTTATTTAAGATGAATCATCTTGTAAATATTAAAATTCTGAAAAATGTTTTATACAATCCGTTGGATTCTTAAAATATACAATTTATAAAATTAACTCCTATTATATTATTCGTCGTTGTCTATAATATTATCATTTTGAAAATAATAAATAATTTTTTTGAACAGTAAAAGTTGACGAAATATTATTCACAAAGATCGTCTATCACATACGTTATCTTGGAACATGAAATTCATGTAATAATGTTTAAGATAAAAAATCTTCTTAGTTTCTGCTTCTTTACTTAAGTTAACATATGTTAACAACATTATTCTTGTTGTTAACAAAATTGAAGATGCCAGAAAAAATAACTCTTTATTGATTGAATAATAAATCTTAATGCATTGAGTAATGTTTATATGGCTTTACATTTATAGAATTTA